CTCACTCTTCCTGCTGATTGCTTTCCTTGGCACCTCTATCTGGAGGCTGTTGAGCCCACAGCTTCCTCTTTTACCAATCACAGAGATTGAATTTGACAGTGGGAATTATTTTTGTTGCGTGGTTGGCATGCTTAAGCAAAAACTGGCACAGAAGTGTTCTAAGTGTTGAGATTTGGAGTTCTAAGTTAGTCCTGGTGATATAGTCATAGAAAAATTCATCCAGGGGTGTTAATTGAGGTGTAAATGAGCTCTAGGATATTTGTGCATGGCAACACCTGAGAAGGTGTTTACTGATCTAGGAATAAATGAGCCATCTAGAAGAGGAGGAAGTGAGGTTTCAGAGGATGATGGGAAAGGTTGTTGAGATACCAGACATTTTCAAGAGGCCCCAGCTTCCCAAATCTTGTCCAGCATTATTGAACCTGGACTCTACTCCTAAGTAGCCCCATACTTTGTAGCACCCCTTCTCAATCCAATTTCCCCTACAATGCTCTAGTACCCCAACTCTCAACCAGATACCTCTGACTTCATGGTAGAGTACCTCCAGAACTTAGCCCTATACCCCTGGACTTCAAGACATATTCCACCTTCCCCTGTACCTCTTCTAGATCAGTCTGTCTAGCCTCCCTAAACCAAATAAACTTCCTTCTTATATTCAACCACCTAAAGGATGTCCCTGATCAGACTCCTTGTCTGAAGAGCACAAGTGGCTTTTCAGGACCCAGCCTTCTGTGAACACAGTGATGCTCATATATCCCAGGGCCATGACTGCAGGGAATGGATGGAACTGCATGCCACTGAAGGCATTCACCCTTTCAGTTTGTGTCTGGGGCTGTACATCTCCCCACTCCACTCCAACTACCTAAGTAACTGCTGGTTGATATCATAATTGACATAACTGATTTGGTCTTCCTGAGTAAGATCTCAATGAATTCCAGGTAATTTTTTATTTGGGGATGTACATGATCATTTCTCACTTTTGCAGACCTGATTTTTGGCCATCCCAATTCACCTGCAGGGATGAGTCAGTGACACCGGACCTATCCACCTATGAAGAATTCCTTTTATTCTTTGTTAGGCCCCATACAAACCTGGGTGGGGAAAAGCAGGAATATTTCTTCATTTCCTTTTTATTAATCTCCTAGGGCCTGGTTCTTCAGAAAAGAAGGGAGTGGGCCAAGGAAATGAATGGGGTGGCGGAGAGGAAAAAAGTCTCGGAGAGGCCCTGGAGTAGGGTGGGATGAATGAAGGATAAGGAACAGCAAAGATAGGGGATCTAATGCCAGCTCCAATACCTGCCTTTTTCTTCTTTCTCTACCCCTGACTCCTATCAGTCCCTCTAATGAAGCTATGCCAGAGGAGCTGCCCTCTAACCACATATATCTCTCACTCTCTTATTTTCTTGGTTCTCCCTAGCGTTAGGTTCGACATCACCAAAACCTGCCCAGGACCGAACATACACTTTGCACAGAACAGGCATCAGCTATATTTAAAAAGGACATCCCGGAGGATAAAAACAGTCATAATGCCACCCTCTAGCCCATAGTTTGCAATGCCTTTCCCAGGATGGATCTCATCGCGTCTCCCTGAACGTCCGAAGCGTTAGGCGTGGCCAAGCCACTATCCCCACTCTACAAATGAGGAAAAGCGCGGCCTGCTGTGGCCACAGTTGCAGACTGTGAGCCGCTAGCCATAAAGCAGTCAACTGGCAGCAAGGGTCGCGCCCCTTCGCCCCACTGCATCTGCGACCCCTGGCGCGATCCTTGCCGGGAATTGTAGTCCAATGACGCTCAGCTACTACGGATTGGACTACAATGACCAGCACGCCCCGCGCTTTTTGGCGCCCCCTTCCCTTTCAGCCTCGGGCGCCGGGGAGGCTAGACAGACCTGCTGACTGGGAAGCGGTATGGCAGCGACGCTGGGCAGCGGGGAGCGCTGGACTGAAGGTATCAGGTCCTGGCCGGAGCGTAGGACAGGCCAGGGTCAGGGAGAAATCAGGGATGGGGCTCCTGACGGCGCCTGAAGGGGCTGAGATCCTGGGCCTGAGATGAAGGATGGAGGTCTATGAGAAGATGCTGGGCCTGAGTAGGGTTCCTGGTGAGGAGGGAGACCTCCCAGGGTAGGGGGCCGGGATCCGGAAACCAGGAGCCCTGGCTCAAGCTGAGGACCCGGCCGGGTACCCAGAGTCACCCGTGACGACTTGTTGCCTCCGGCCCCCAGCCCCGCCCCGGCCCGTGCCCCGCCCAGGGCCTGCAGCTGTCAGGCCCGTCTGCGCCGGGGTCTGCGGGGTGACGCGGTTTCCCGCAGCTTGCTTACCCGGTCCTTATCCTCGCCTCCAAACTGGGCTGCCTGACCCTCGGCCTGGGTTTGGTCTTGTCCCTGCAGCCAGCATCAGGACAGATGGGCCAGCTTTTTCCATCCTACAGTCAGGCAAAGAGTACTGAGGCAGTGCCTATTATGTACTCTGCATTATGCTGATCCTGCAGCGGGATTTGACAGACATGGGCCCCGGAGCCCACAGAACTCTAAGTCTACTGAGGAAGTTTGACAGGTAAACAGTCAGTTACAAAACAGGGCCAGAATGTCCTGGGCTACACAGCAATGTCGTAGGTTTGGGGGGCATACTGACTAGGCACTCAGCGTGGCCTGGGTGTCAGAGGCCTCATAAAGAAAGTGTTACATATGATGACATGAAGGATGTGTTGGAGTTAGCCAGACCTACTTAGAGAATAGTTTTTCAGGCAGCGGGAACAGCATGTGCAACGGCACAGAGAAAAGAGAAAGCATTGATGATCTGAAGGGAGTTTGGTGTGGCTAGAGCATAGACTACAGAAGAACTTGTGTTGAGATTTGAGGCTGGAGAGACAGGCTGGGCCCATGATAAGAAATTTGGACACCGAGCAGTGGGTAGTCAGTAAGAGATGTTAAGCAGGAGAAAGGGTTTTTTAAAATCTTACCCAGATCCTCCATACAGGACACGAGTACTCTGCCTTCTTTGACTATATTGCTATGGCCCTCTTCGTACTCTGCAGGCATTATGATTAATTAAATCCTCTCCTTTAAACTATATCCTCCTTGTGGTCAGGAGTAGGTCTTATGCATACATCTCCTTGATCTATCTAGCCAAATGTATTGTACATATTAGTTTTATAACTGTCAGTTAAAAAATTGAAATCATTTCTACTTTAAATCTTAGTGGTGGGAGGCATTGTGACAAAAAATAATGTGTTATGATCAATTCACTTCTGACCATGGACCACAGAGAAATAGGCTTCACCTGTGCTGCCCTAAAGCCAAGGTATTGGGCAGATGCCTCTTGAGCCCCTTTACTGGCTCTGAGTGAAGACTATTTGCTGACTGATGACTGTAGGTATGGTGGACATTATTATGCTTCATGTTTCTGGCATTAAAAGTTTTTCATGATTGCCTCTGTATTTTCTGTATTGTTTTCTCAAGGAAGATGTTTCTTCAGCTTTGTATGGGTGTTTAGAAGTCAGCATGATGTCAGTAACCTGGGCCTCACACTCATTTGCCTACAGGGAGCCTCCCAGATAGCTAAGGCCAGTAGCAAAGTTGATTTGCAGGTCAGACTGAAGCCTCATGGAGGTGCCGTTGCTTTGCAGCTTACATTGATGCAGTTAGAAGAAACAAATACCCAGAAGACAGACATCCTGAAAGTCATGACTCCTGTGGTTGCTGTAACTGCAGGAAGGCACAAAAGGAAAAGAAGTCTGAGCATGAGTGGAATCAGACCCGACAGGGTGAGGGGAATGCCACTTATACTGAGGAGCAGCTGCTTGGAGTACAAAGGTGAGCCTGTGGTGGGATTAAATGAGTGATTTTATGTACAGTGCCTGGCACAGATGATGTGTTATGTAAGTATTGACTGCTATTATTATTTTTATTACTGTTATTGAAGCACAATAGCTTCTTGACCTCAGAGACAAGGCTAGGTGGAAGTGGAGTGTTAGGGTATAATCTGAAGTAACTGCCCTGCTTCTACTGTAAGAGAGACAGGGGAAACGAGCTTGACATAACAGACACCTGTACAACATTCTACCCAACAACAGCAAAACGCACATTCTTCTCAAGTATACATGGAACATTATCCGAGATAGACCATATGTTAGGCCATAAAACAAGCCTTAATAAATTTAAAAGGATTAAAGTCAAACACTGTATGTTCTTTGAAATTGACAACAGAAGAAATTTTGGGTAATTTACAAATATGTGAAAATTAACATATTCCTAAATAACAAATAGGTCACAGAAGAAATCACAAGGAAAATTAGAAAATACTTTGAGATGAATGAAAATGAAAACACTTATAAAGCAACTACACTCCAATAAAAATTAATTAAAAAAATGAAAATGCAACATACCTAAACATATAGGATGCAGCTAAGGCAATACTTAGAAGCAAATTTATTGCTATAAATGTTTATATATTTTTTAAAAATCTCAAATCAATAACCTAATCTTCTAAAAAAAGAAGAACAAACTAAGTTCAAACAAGCAGAATGAAGGAAATAATATAGAGTGGAAGTAAATGAAATAGAGGATAGCAAAACAATAGAGATCTACAAAACCAAAAGTTGGTTTTTTGAAAATATCAACAAAATTGACAAACTTTTAGCTAGACTGACCAAGCAAAAAAAGGGAGAAGACTCAAATAACTAAAATCAGGAGTGAAATAGGGGATATCACTACCAATCTTACAAAATAATGATTATGTAAGAGAATACTGTGAACAATTATATGTCAACAAATTAGATAACTTGAATGAAATGGTTAAATTCGATTTCCCAAAAGAAAAGCCCAGGCCCAGGTGACTTCACTGGTGAATTCTACCAAATGTCTGAAGACAAATTAACTAATCCTGCATTAACTATTTTAGAAAACACCAAAGAAGGGAATTCTTCCCAAGTCATTCTATGAGACCAGTATTATTACCCTGTAACCAAAAACAGACAAAGTCATCACAAGATGGATACAGATTTCTGCAACATATAAAACATATAAAAAGGATTACATATCTTGACCAAGTGAGATTTATCGTAGGAATGCAAGGTTATTTAACACATGAAAATCAAATAATGTAATACACCATATTAATAGAATAAAAGACAAAAGTCACATGATTGTTTCAATAGGTGTAGAAAAAGCTTTTGACAAAACCCTGCACTCTTTCATGATAACAGTATTCAACACACCAAGAATAGAGGGGAACTTCCTCAACCTGATAAAGGTCATCTTCAAAAAATCCACAGCTGGGACTTCCCTGGTAGTCCAGTGGTTAAGACTCTGCACTCCCAATGCAGGGAGCCAAGTTCGATCCCTGGTCAGGGAACTCGATCCCGCATGCCGCAACTAAAGATCCCGCATACCACAACGAAGATCCTGCATGCCTCAACTAAGACCTGGCACAGCCACATAAATAAATATATCTTTTTTAAAAACCCCTTAAAATTAAAAAAAAAAAATCCACAGCTAACATCATACTTAATGGTGAGTAATTTGATGCTTTCCAAGACCAAGAACAGGACAGGAACAAGATTCTAGCCATTTCTATTCAACATTGTGCTAGAAGTTCAAGCCAGGGCAGTTAAGCAAGAAAAAGAAGTAAAAAAAAAAAAAAAATTAAAAAAAAAGTAGAAGCCATTCAAATTGGAAAGAAGAAATAAAAGTATATTCACAAATTATATGATCTAGTATAGAAAATTTTAAGCAATACCCACACACACACAAACTATTAGGACTAATAAATTACTTCGGCAAAGTTCAGTATAAGATCAATATACAAAAATTATTATTTTTCTATATGCTAAGAATGAACAATCTGAAAATGAAAACAATTTCATTTATAACAGCATCAAAAAGAATAAAATGCTTAGGAATAAATTTAATGAGAGAAATGTAAGATTTTACATTGTAAACTATAAACTTTATTAAAAGAAATTAAAGAAGACCTAAATAAATGGGAAGATTGCCTGTATTCATGAATTGGAAGGCTTAATATTGGTAATATGGTAATAGTCTTCAAATTGATCCACAGATTTAACACAATCCCTATCAAATTCCCTGCTATCTTTTCTTGCAGAAATTGACAACCTGACCCTAAAATTCATATGAAAATGCAAAGGACCCAGAGTAGCCAAAATAGTCTTGAAAAAGAAGTACAAAGTTGGAAGACTCACACTTCCCAATTTCAAAACCTACTACAAAGCTTCAGTAATGAAGACAGTGTGCACCAGCATAGGATAGGCATGTAGATCAATGGAATAGAATTGAGACTCCAGAGATAAACGCTTATATTTATGGTTAATTGGTTTTTGACAAGAGTGCCAAAACAATTTAATGGGGGAAAGACTAGTCTTCAACAAATGTTGTTGGGACAACTGGATATCCACATGCAAAAAAATGAACTTGGACCCCTTCCTCACACAAATACAAAAATTAATTCTAAGACCTAAATGTAAGAGCTAAAACCATGAAACTCTTAGAAGAAAACAAATGTAAAGCTTTGTGACATATGGATTAGGCAGTGATTTCTTGTTGACACCCAAAACCCAAGGGATAATAGAAAAAATAGGCAAATTGGACTTCATCAAAATTAAAAACTTTTGTACTTCAAAAGATACCATCAAGAATGTGAAAACTCAACGCACAAAACAGGAAAAAATATTTTCAAATTATATATCTGATGAGGGAGAGAGGGAAGGAGGCAGGAGAGGATCTGCCATGGAAGGAGGGATCAGAAACTAGGGTGGGGAATCCATAGGATCCTCATGGGCAGCTCTTGGGGAAGGGCCCTGACCGACATTCCGGACCCTGCATTATCGTCCCAACTGTGTTACTGACTTACTATGAACTCTTCAACAAGGCTCTGGGTCTCTGCCTGCCTAACTGAATTGTGTGGTAGCAAAAAAATGGAGATACTTTAAATGCCCATCAGTAGGGAATGTACGTACATCCATAAAATGCAAGAATATGCAGCTTTTTAAAAGAATGTGGTAGGTTTTTATTTTAAAGTATATAGTTGATTTACAATGTTGTGTTAGTTTCTGGTGTGCAGCAGTGTTATATGTAACTGAATATATATATACTTTTCCAGATTCTTTTCCACTATAGGTTATTACAAGATACTAGTATAGTTCCCTGTGCTATACAGTAGGACCTTGTTGTTTATCTATTTTATATAAAGTAGTGTGTATCTGTTAATTATAAACTACTGATTTAATTTATCCCCCTCCTCCACCCCCACCCCTGCTTTCCCCTTTAGTAACCATAAATTTGTTTTCTATGTCTGTGAGTCTGTATCTGTTTGGTAAATAAGTTCATCTGTGTTATTTTTTTAGATTCCACACATAAGTGACATCATATCATATTTGTCTTTGTCTGACTTCACTTAGTATGATAAAATGTATGTCCATCCATGTTGCTGCAAATGGCATTTCATTCCTTTTTAATGGCTGAGTAATATTCCATTGTATATATATACTGCATCTTCTCTATCCATTCATCTGTCGATGAACACTTAAGTTGCTTCCATGTCTTGGCTATTGTAAATAGTGCTGCTATGAACATTGGGGTGCATGTGTCTTTTCAGATTAGAGTTTTCATCTTTTCCAAATGTATGCCCAGGAGTGGGATTGCAGGATCATATGGTAGTTCTATTTTTAGTTTTTTAAGGAACCTCCATACTGTTCTCCATAGTGGCTGCACCAATGTACATTCCCACCAACAGTGTAGGAGGGTTTCTTTTCTCCACACCTTCGCCAGCATTTACTATTTGTAGTATTTGATGATGGCCACTATTTGATGATGGCCATTCTGACCAGTGTGAGGTCATACCTCTTTGTAGTTTTGATTTGCATTTCTCTAATAATTAGCAATGTTGAGCATCTTTTCACGTGCCTGTTGACCATCTGTAGAATGTGGTAGATTTGTAATAATAGCCAATATTTATGTCATGTCAGATGCTATCAAGCATTTTAATGAATACTTCATTTAATTATAATAGCTATGAAATATAGGTATAATTATCAGCCCATTTCAGAAGATAACACAAAGGCACAGAGTTAAGTCCACAGCAAGATCAGATGCCAACCAAGGCATTTTGACTCCAGAGTTCATGCTGTAGTCCACCCGCTCTCAAGGTGTGGTTTGGGAACCCCAAGACCCTTTTGGGGAGGGGTCTGCAAGTTTAAAACTATCTTCATGATAATACAAACATATTATTTGCCTTTTTCACTCTCATTCCTTCATGATTATACAGTGGAATTTTTGAGAGGCTGTATAACATGCCATTATATCATTTTATAAAAGACTTCTTAGATCAGAAAGTTCAGAACCAACACTCTGGTGGTCTAAACTGTTATCCCTGTAATTTTCATCTCTATAAGTTATGGATCAATTCCCAAGATAAATTGTTAATTTAAAAAAAAATGAGATATAGAAGGGTGATTATAATATGCTTCCATTTATGTAAAAAAAAATGGGGAAGTCTCTATACATGTACTCTCTCTGTACATAGGAATCAGAGAAAACTTTTTTTTTTTTTCTGTGCCACACAGCTTGTAGGTTCTCAGTTTCCTGACCACGAACTGAACCTGGGCCATGGCAGTGAAAGCCCAGAACCCTAACCACTAGGCAACCAGGGAATGCCCCACAGAAAACTTCTAACTGTGGTTATTCTTAGGGTAGGAGATTGGAGTACAGGGAATGGGGAAGCAGGAAGATTTTTCACTGTGTATAGTTTAGTACTATTGGATATTTTTCTTCTACCATGTTAGTATGTTAACTTTTTAAAACAAAGTTTAAACAGATAGCCATAAGGAGAAAAAAAGGTAGATTAAAAAAAAAAAAAAAAGGATGGTTAAGGTATTTCTTCTGACTTTGCTGTCCAGTGGTTCAACTCTGAGGACTTAGCTTGGGCCTTAATATTATAAGGGTTAGTATACTTGTTCTATCCACTTGCAGGGATATAGGAAGAAAAAAATATTAGATGTAAAACTACTTTGAAAGGAATTAAGCTTTCACTGGGAGGAGGACATTGTTAGTGAATTGTATGTTTCATTAACGTGTTCACCAGTTTTCTTTTAGGTTTGTTTTGGGGCTCACAGATTGGAGAGAGGATTGATTTACTATTTTGCAGTTAATTGTACAAAAGGGGCTTTTGTAGACATACCAAAAAATATTTCTGATTTGTATTTTTAGGATCAAGAAATGCAGAAATTACTATGAAATTCTGGGGGTTTCACGAAATGCCAGTGATGAAGAGCTTAAGAAAGCTTACCGAAAACTCGCCCTGAAATTTCATCCTGACAAGAACTGTGCTCCTGGAGCAACAGATGCTTTCAAAGGTCTGATCCTAAACTAATGCTTAATTCTGCCCTTCTTATGTTGTTTGGTCACAGCAAGTTGTTTTCAGCCTCCCCTGTAATTGTTTTATAAGGCCACAAGCAGGGTTTTGTTTTTTCCTGCCACACCTCTTAGATAGTGATTATTAGCATAGCTCTCTCCTGTCCTCATTCACTTACCTTAATTTCTTTTGGAAGAAATATTTGGTTTCTCTCTTGGGGCTTCCCTGGTGGCACAGTGGTTGAGAGTCCGCCTGCCGATGCAGGGGACACGGGTTCGTGCCCCGGTCCGGGAAGATCCCACATGCCACGGAGCGGCTGGGCGCATGAGCCATGGCCGCTGAGCCTGCGCGTCCGGAGCCTGTGCTCCGCAACGGGAGAGGCCACGACAGTGAGAGGCCCGCGTACTGCAAAAAAAAAAAAAAAAATTTGGTTTCTCTGTGACACCTTTTGGAACCTTTCATTCCTTGATTCAGCAAATCTTTATTGAAGATCTACCTGCCAGGTGCCATGGTGAGTAAAACAGATATGATTCCTCTTGTGGAACTTATAGGTCGGTGGCCACTTGCAATTAGGGCCTAGACAGCATTTCCAACCTTCTTTGACCATCAAAATATTTGTTCATGAAACCTCTGTTATTAACATGTATGAAAAAGCTTTATACAGCTTTGTAAAGAGCAAAAACATGGTTATAGATCGAATCCTTTTTCCATTGATTTCCGTGATACTTTTAGTGATATATTCTTTTTTTTTTTGTTTGCGGTACGCAGGTGGGGGAGACTGTTCTAGATTAAAAGTAACTACAGAGACATGAAACCAAATGTAACTCATGAACCTTGCATGGATTCACTGGGTGATAATGAATTGATGTTAATTTTCTTAGCTATGATATGATCTTGTGATCATGTAGGAGAATATCTTTCTTCTCCGGAGACATAGCTAAAATATTTAGGGGTGAAGTGTCATAATATCTGCAGCCTACTTTCAAATGGTTCAGCAAAAAAAATGAATACATATTATATGTGTATGTGTAGAGAGCTGAGGAAAGCAATGTGGTAAAATGCTAACAATTGATGAATAAATGTAAAGGTTTTATTGTACTATTTTTTCGTCTTTTCTGGAGATTTGAAATTTTTCAAAAGAAAAAGTAAAAAATTAGAGATCTGAGACATTTTTTAAAGTCAGCATTTACCTCAGAGGGCAAGCTACCCTTGTTGATGTGCCATTGTGAATCTAGTTCTCCCCACAGTTTCTACAAGGAAACAGATAACCCACAATTTCCTCACACCTTCATGTAACGTACCTCACAGACTAATGCCTCTAAAGACCATTTTTAAAAGTAGGCTGAGGGACTTCCCTGGAGGCACAGTGGTTAAGAATCCACCTGCCAATGCAGGGGACACAGGTTCAATCCCTTGTCTGGGAAGACCCCACATGCTGTGGAGCAAGTAAGCCCGTGTGCCACAACTACTGAGTCTGCGTGCCTAGAGCCTGTGCTCCACAATAAGGGAAGCCACTGCAATGAGAAGCCCATGCACCCCAATGAAGAATAGCCCCCGCTCACAGCAACGAAGACCCAACACAGCCAAAAAAAAAAAAATAAGCTGAGATAAGACTGATGAGTGAGGACTTTGCTTTTAGCCAAGCAGGAGGATTTTTACTGATTATTTTATTCAGGAGATTGTATGTGACTTCATGTTAGAATACCACTACTTATGTAGGAACTGTTTCCAACCATAAACTACTGCTCTTAAGTGAAGTAACACATTTTTGATGATGGAGAACAGTACTTCTTAGTTCATCTTGAGTCCAGTGTTGTTTCAGGCTTATCAGACTAGACCATGGAAGATTTCAAGGGCAAGCACTTTGGTGAACTTTCTAGGCCCAAGCACCTCTCCTTGGGTCACTGTGAAGTTGTCCAGCACCAATCAACTCCGGGCTCTTCATTGCTACTACTATGATCACCCTCAGCTACAGCAAAGACTATGTACTCAGGTGCTTTTTGTTTTTGTTGCAGCAATAGGAAATGCCTTTGCAGTCCTGAGCAATCCTGACAAGAGACTCCGCTATGATGAATATGGAGATGAACAGGTGACTTTCACTACCCCTCGAGCCAGACCTTATAATTATTACAGGGACTTTGAAGCCGACATCACTCCAGAAGAGCTGTTCAATGTCTTCTTTGGAGGACATTTTCCTACAGGTTGGTATCCCAAAATTATTGTTTAAGAAGTCATAGGGACTTCCTGGCAGTCCAGTGGTTAAGACTTCACGCTTCCACTGCAGGGGGTGCAGGTTCGAGCCCTGGTTGGGGAACTAAGATTCCACATGCTGCTCGGCGTGGCCAAAAAAAAAAAAAAAATTCATATATATTTTCAGGATCTGTTTGAGGATCTGAATAGAGGGACCGTGGTATGGTGGCAACAGCAAACTTTGGAATCAGATAATCTGGGGTTGAAGGCATGTCTCCACCCTCCAACTATGCATGATTTTGACTTAGTCCATCTGATCTTGTTTCCTTACCTAAAAATGGGGTTGATGATACCAACTTCACAAGGCTGCTGTGAGGATTGGATATTTTTTTAAGTGTTTTATAAATTAGAAGCAAAATGCCTGTATTATCATTATTGCAAAATAGCATTTATATAAAGGTAAAGGTTAGAAAAGTACCCCCAGAGAGTTGGAAGTTGGGTTAATTAAATGCCTGGGAAGTAAATTGAATTTTTTTTTTTTGCGGTACGCGGGCCTCTCACTGTTGTGGCCTCTCCTGTTGCGGAGCACAGGCTCCGGACGCGCAGGCTCAGCGGCCATGGCTCACGGGCCCAGCCGCTCTGTGGCATGTGGGATCTTCCTGGACCGGGGCACGAACCCGTGTCCCCTGCATCAGCAGGCAGACTCTCAACCACTGCACCACCAGGGAAGCCCAAGTAAATTGAATTTTGTTAGGTGCTATTAAAGATACTAGTGGCATAATCTGATATTGGGCAAGGAGGCAGACGTGAGCATGTCAGACAGGATTCGTGGCCCAAGTGCTTTCTTTCTTAGCCTCTTGGGGTTCTCTCACTCACTAGTTACAAAGGATTATTTAAATAAGGGCGAGAGAGCTAAGCATGTCCCATTTCCAGCTGGTTCACTTAACATACCTACTGTTGTATTTTTCTACTGAGTAAAATGGGACAATACTCTACCCTCAGAGAACCTAGTTGGAAGCAAGGACCTTGGAAAAGGCAAGGAAGGGGTGTTTGCCATATTGCATACTAAGTATTTTTCTTTCTTTTCCAGGAAACATTCATATGTTTTCAAACGTGACAGATGACTCCCACTATTACCACCGGCGGCACCGACACGAGAGGATGCAGACACGGAAGGAAGAGGAAGAAGATAAGCCTCAGGTACCTGGGGAGGAAAGGACAGGACAACAGCTGCCCGTAAACACTTGTACTGAGCTGACCTTTATGTAGTATGATCAGGTTTTCGAAGTTCAACTTGAGATATGTTGCTAAAATGTGCTTTAGGAAAGCAGAAACCTGGCAAGAAGAGCTGGATAATTGGCCCAAATAAGCCAGAATGGTACCCCCTCCCCCATCCATTCTTTGGTGACTGTCCCTAGAAATTTGTTCACCTATGGGGCTGTCTTGAAAAATGTTTTTTTGACTGCAGAGAATAGGAACCCCCTTCAAAATATTCAATACTAAAGGGGGTTTAAGGTAAGGGATCAAGGGAGTCTCATGAAGCTTAAGGGCAGGGAGCTTGCTGGGCCTTATGTCAGATGGGAACCAGGAACTGGGGTGCTGTCAGGCCCCCATGCAGCTGTGCTCTCCATGACTCTTGGGGCCAGACTGTCTCCAGTTTTCCTGCCTGCCTGCATCTGTTTTGTTCTCTCTAAGCAGCCTGGCTTTTCTGCTTCCCCTTGCAAATGTCCAGTCTACAGTGCCTCAGAGTGTGTGTCCTTTCTTCAAGTGACTGCCTAGCAGTGAATGGTGATGAATCTGAATCCCAGATGCTTAGGAGGGAGAATGTGATCATCCCTGCTACGGTTTGATGTCCCCCAGATGTCCCACAGTCCGTTCAGCTGAGGCCAAGGCAACAGAGTTGCATAATAACATGACCTCATGAGTCACAGTCTGGGCGAGCTCCTACACAGGTGTCTGCTTCATTGGTCTTAGAAAAGGGGGCTGCAGAAGGATTACTGAGTGTCAATCCAGATTGTAGGTGGGCCTTGTTCAGCCTTTTCAGCAGACAGAATGGGGCTGTTTGGTACCTCTCAGCAGAAAGTACAACCTTCCCAGAAAAGCCTTGGGCTATGTGCAGTACATCAGTAATTCATATTTTCTTTGGGAAAACTGTTCTCTTTTCAATAAGCTTTATATTGATGAAGAGCACTTACACCAAATGCTTTTTCTTTTTCAGACTACATATTCTGCATTTATTCAGTTACTTCCAGTTCTGGTGATTGTGGTTATATCTGTGATTACTCAGCTGCTAGCTGCTAATCCCCCATATAGTTTATTCTATAAATCGTAAGTCAAATATTTATAAGTATTTCTTAACAACAAGCTGGTACATTACTAACATTCCATTTCACCTTTTGTTGTAGAAAACAACACAAAAACTGATTTTGTGTTTAAAGGAACAGCTGGATAGTAATAATGCAGAGACTCAAGAATATTGTTCTTTAGGCAGTTTCCCAGGCACTCAGGACCTGGATTGTTTTGTTCTACAGCGACATCACCTGGTCAGCTGCAGAATAGCAATGGCTGGTTTCTGAAGGATTAATAGACGAACTCCAGGTTCAGATTAAATCCTTAACATTCCACTTTAGAGTTAAAAAGGACCTTACTGAGCTTGTGATAGTATCGCTGGACCCCTGTGAGTCTGAGAACATAGTAACTAATATCTAGTGATTATTTCCAATTTAAGAAATTGCAAGAATAGTACATTTATTCATAAGGCTATACAGTCAAACCATAGTATCTCATTTCTTTGCTTTTGCTAAAAATATAGAAATCATTATAAAGTTTGTATTGCATGGAAAATTTGAGCTCTGATAGGAATTTTTTAATTTCTTCAATTAATTATTTCAGTTAAATCAGTTCTTAATTTGGTCCCTAGACCAGCATCATCAGCATTAACTGCCAACCTGTTAGAAATGCAGACTCTTAGGCCTTACTCCATATCTACTGAAACTCTAGGGGTGAGAACCAGCAATATGAGTTTTAACAAGCCCTCCAGATAATTCTGGTCCATACTAAAGTCTGAGAATCACTGGATTATTATTTTTTTAATTAATAATGGGAAATGAGTCATTACTATTATAGTTGAGCAGACAAAAACCTTTCAAAATGTGGACTCGATGGAACCGTACCTAACAGGAAGAGCTCTTGTTGGTGATCACTGTAGACTAAAGACTATCATTCTAGATCAATATCTTTATTTTACAGAGAGGAAAGCTGAGACTCAGAGAGAGGTTATTGCTATCGGGACACAATGGCCTGATTCCCTCTTATTTCCTGACTTCCCATATTTCTCCACATGCTACTGCTACCTCCTTTCTTATCAGGCCAGTGGGACAGACAGGAACCTACCCTGATAACAGCTTCCCAGAGGGAGGCAAGAGCAATCATGGCTCTTAGACATCCAGCAAGATCCATAAGTTGAGATATCAAAGGAAAAGGCTAGGAGAAGGTCAAATATAACTCCTTTAAGATGGACTTTGTCCAATTTGGACAAAATCAGCTTGGATTTTGCACATTGCCATCACATTGTTTTAACTTGAATTTGAACTCCCTCTGTACCTTCTTATGGTTAGACTTCAATTAACCCAGACCCGTTAAACTTTCTGAGCACCCAGACACCTTTGGATATCTTAGACCCACTGAGAGATAGCCTGGAGGTATCATTGAAATCTATTGTCTTAGTTTTTGTGCAGTTCTCACCTAATGGCTATGTGTAAAGTACTTTTTATCATGTCCTAAAAATTAGAACTAAGTTGGTTAAGCTGTCTTGGTTTTTTTTTTTTTTTTTTTTTTCCTTGCTTTTTGCGGGCCTCCCCCTGTTGTGGCCTCTCCCATTTGCGGAGCACAGGCTCCGGACGCGCAGGCTCAGTGGCCATGGCTCACGGGCCCAGCCGCTCCGCGGCATGTGGGATCTTCCCGAAACGGGGCACGAACCCGCGTCTCCTGCATCGGCAGGCGGACTCTCAAGCACTGCGCCACCAGGGAAGCCCTGTCTGGTTATTTTTAAATAGTTTATAGTAACAGTCATTTCATTCAACCAACATTTACCAATAGCCACTCTGCGCCAGGTGCCATGCTAGGTCCTATACAATATAGAAATTGTTTTTTAAGCATTCAGCATTCTACTTTTAACATAGAAAGCAGTCTAATAGAGGTCAATCCAGATAGCTGCACCCCCATATTCACAGCAGCATTATTTACAATAGCCGAGACATGGAGACAACCTGAACACACACACACACACACACACACACACACACACACACTATGGAATATTATTCAGCCATAAAAAATGATTTTTTTCCTTGCGTTATGCGGGCCTCTCACTGTTGTGGCCTCTCCCATTTGCGGAGCACAGGCTCCGGACGCGCAGGCTCAGTGGCCATGGCTCACGGGCCCAGCCGCTCCGCGGCATGTGGGATCTTCCCGAAACGGGGCACGAACCCGCGTCTCCTGCATCGGCAGGCGGACTCTCAAGCACTGCGCCACCAGGGAAGCCCTGTCTGGTTATTTTTAAATAGTTTATAGTAACAGTCATTTCATTCAACCAACATTTACCAATAGCCACTCTGCGCCAGGTGCCATGCTAGGTCCTATACAATATAGAAATTGTTTTTTAAGCATTCAGCATTCTACTTTTAACATAGAAAGCAGTCTAATAGAGGTCAATCCAGATAGCTGCACCCCCATATTCACAGCAGCATTATTTACAATAGCCGAGACATGGAGACAACCTGAACACACACACACACACACACACACACACACACACACACTATGGAATATTATTCAGCCATAAAAAATGAAGAAATCCTACCATTTGTGACAATATTGAGGGACCTTGAAGGCATTATACTAAGTGAAATAAGTCAGAGAAAGACAAATACTGTATGATCTCACTTATATGTGGAATCTAAAAAAAAACCAACAAACTCAGAAAAAGAGATCAGACTTCTGGTTACCAAAGGTGGAGGAGAGAGGGAAGGGGAATTGAAGGAAGATGGTCAAAGGTACAAACTAACAGTTATAAGTTAAGTAAGTACAAGGTATGTCACGTACAACACAGTGTTACAGTAGTAACGCTGCTGTATGATAGGAAATGATAGGAAAGTTAAGAAAGTAAATCCTGAGAGTTCTCATCACAAGGAGAAAGGTTTTTTTTCCTTTATTCTTGTCTTCTTTCTTTTCTTTCTATTGTATCTAAATGAGAAGATGGATGTTAGCTGAACCTATTGTGGTAATCATTTCATAATTATGTAAGACAAACCTTCATGATGTATGTTTTAAATTTAAAAAGAGAGAGGGAAGAGAGGGAGGTGAATCCTTTAAGGAAATAAATATGTTGAGACTGAATCCATTTGAACATGCTCACATAATAGCAACAATTATGACGTTACACTTACTGCTTTGCTTGGGAAATAATAAATGTTAGATGTATTAGAAAATGATATCTGCATCTGCCCTATGAAGAGGTGATTGTGTGAATGATCTCTGTGAGGCCAGTGCTAAAAGTGATATTGCCAAGTATGACAAGCATACCTGAGCCTCTCTCTCCTTGTTTCAGGACCTTGGGCTACACCATTTCTAGAGAAACCCAGAACCTACAGGTGCCTTACTTTGTGGATAAAAACTTTGACAAGGCCTACAGAGGAGCATCTCTGCGTGACCTGGAGAAGACGATAGAAAAGGATTACATTGATTACATCCAGACAAGTTGTTGGAAGGAGAAACAACAAAGTAAGATGCTCTAAAAGGGGCTTCAGCTGGTGCCATGCTTCCAACCTGAGGCATCCCCAGCTTCCTGATCCCTTCTCTCTCCTTGTTTGAGCTACTCATGTTTACGTGAACAGGGATAGGACAGAGGCCCATTCAGGATATTACCAAAAAAGGGAAGTTTATTGACAGGATACATGTGGCCAGGACTGGGAAATCTTAGGAACTTCGGCAGTACTAGTTGCCTGTCTGTCTGTCTGTCTCTGAGTCTCTACATCTCTCTGCCTATCTGCCCTCTCTCCTCTCTGCCAACTTCTTTGCTTTTTCAAGCTCTCCTCCTTCACAGCCTTAATTTGCCATGATTTACTTTGGTTGCTACCCTGCTATTCACTCTCCCAACTTCCCCAACCCCACAAGTCATTGGTCCCTTTCTACATCACAAGCTTCCTATTTAAGTAGCTGGCTGGTTTGGTCCATGGTTTCCTAATTTCACATTTCCCAGAGGGAAATCTGATTGATCCAACCTAACCAAAGTTTTATAGGTTGTTGTTATTGAGTTCGGTGCCCCTTCTCTTCCCCTCCAATCAGCTGTGGCCACACAGAATAAAAGCGACTCTCCCGGGAGCAGGCCTTCCACACTGTTTCCCTGGAGACAATGGGGGTGACAGTGTTGGCTTCCAACCCCAGTGAGTGTTCATGGGGAGTGTGCACACACACACACACACACACACACACACACACATATCCATTAGTAATTGTATCTTATAAAACTTGGCTTTGGTTAATTTTTAAAAAGCAAACTAACTCATTTTTTAAAACCTTGTCTGTCACTGGGTATTGTTAAACATCTAACAGTGCCTGATAAATTTAGATCCTCAGTCACAGTGCTGCTAAGCCCTCGCTGACCCATCATGCATCCCAGCCCCACCCCAAGTTAGTCTCTCCTTCCTCTCTGTTTTTAAAGCACTTTGCTCATCCTGCTAAGACAGTGCCACCCTCACCATGTTAACGTGTCCTGTAGGTACATGAGTCGCCCTGCTGGACTCTGGGCTCTCTGAGGGCAAAAACCATGTCTTACTAATTTTGTGTCCCAGGCCCTTGGCACAGTCTTTGCTTCAGAACAGATGCTCCACAAATGTCTTTTGAAGAGAGGATTCTCAGGACTGGAAAACAGTGAAATTGCTGAGGACTAGGAATCACTGAGCAGAGCTAGTGTCCTAACCCTGCCCCTGAGGGACCTTATCTCTGCTGTCTACTCCTGTAGGGCAGAGCCCACCTGACCTCTCAGGTGCATTAGGAGCTTGGTAGGCAATGACTTGGATGTAAGGGGGAATTCAGCAGGGGGAGGGAGGTGCT